CGTTTGAAGTCTACTAAACCGAAAATTTTAACCTAACCAAGAAATAAATTCTACTAAACCAAAACTTAACCAAATGTTTTTACTTCCCTAAATTAATGAATTTATTGATACGTAACCCTAAATTTATCAAATTCTCTCAAACTCAAATGACGCTTCACCTCTCTCGCTTCTTTTTCTATTTGAAGCAGCCGTTGCCTCCACGGATCTCGTCCATCGACTTGCCGCCGTTCTTCCTCTTTCCAGCAGATCCAGTGGTTCTCGTGGGTAGGCATTTTGCGGTGGATCTCGGCGAATCTCTGCGCTTTCTTCTTATGGCTTCACCGCACCGCGAGATATCCTCAGATCTGGCCTTCCCTTCACCGCTCGCCATGCCTCTTAGCGTATCATCTCCTTCTCTCTTCTTCAGATCTGCACACGACCACCATTCAAAAATAGTTAGTTTCCATCTCCGTCGATCTCGCCTCTACCTTCCCATTCCGTGATTGAAAAGAATGTAAACAACAAGCAAACAAGATGTTGTTCAGAATCTTTCATATGCCACAATACTAAAGAAATTGTGAAGTGCGAAGTATAAGAGAATAACAAAGAGACATTTTGAAGACATATATAAACCAACTATGATTGATAAGTTATACTATAATGATAAATTAGAAAATCACTGATAAATTTTATCTTCAAATTCTTAATCGATTATCTAGATAACATGATTTATCTAATGACCAAATATATGTACATAACAAAGTTTTAAACAAATATATTTTAAGTGGTAACTTTGATATTTTCACGAAGCCTTAAAACTAATTCAAAACATTTATTTATTTTATTTCAAATCAAATATTATTTCTATATCTACAAAGACTTGGTTGTTTTTTATCATAACATATATACCAAATGAATACATAAATAATTATTAAATTGTATAACAAAATCTCGCGCGAATGCGTAGGTCATATTCTAATCTATTATATAATTAGAGAGTTCTCAAATATATTACACATATTAAAAAAAAACTAAAATATGTTTGTGAGTTTTATAGTTGAAACAATTAGTAAAAATCAATTGACATAAGCATATTTCTAAAATGTTAAAAAAAATAACAAATTTAGATTATTTTTAAGAGCTATATATTTCATGAAATATGAAAAGTTTCTTTCTTATTGAATACTACAATATACTCTCGATAGAACCTACTGTATTTAGAGACAGAGACGAAAGAGAGAGTTGGAGGTTTCTGATCTTTTCAGAGCGTGAAGAAATGAGAGAGATATGGCTTTCTTTTGTAGTCGCGGAGAGGAGTTACGAGGGAAGTGGCGAGATCTTCGGAGCAAAAAAATCTTTGACTTCGTCAAGCCAAAACGCAGAATTTTAATTCTGGTGGAGTTGGTCCAAAAAGATAGCTATTTGGGCCGAAGGACTATACCAAGACCAAGACCAAGACTAGCCCGGTTCAGTTCGGTATGCATATGGTTCTATTTTGTTCCTCCTTCAATGCATGTAATGTTCTTAATGTTTTGAACACTATACAAGCTTACTCCTTTAAATACTAAAAGAAAACTTCCTTTCTAAAGGATGTGGGACAAATTACACATCTTTCATTAAACCAGAAGTGGTTTTTCCTCCTTAACCTAATGGCTTTTGTTCTCAATTCTCATTCACATTTTAAACCCATTTTGAATAAAACAAATGCCTATCAAATGGCCCATTTGTTTATTCAAATTTGGTTCCAACAATATATATATTAAAAATTATAATATTCTACTTGGGCATAATTATTCTTACAAATTAGTTGCATTTCTAAGAGTTTGCATATACTTATCGTAATTTTAAATTAGCAATTGGGCATAGTGGGAGATTAGTAGGTAATTGGCAGAAAGTATGGTCTTTAGTATTGTAAATCGTTAGCTTATCTGTCATTTGACTTACAAACAATTGAATATCGATTTGGTCTCAGATATTTGCCTGCCCATTTATACACAAATTACTCAATCACGCCTCTAAATTTAGATATAAAAAAAATACTTAATGCGCAAGCTGTAGCCAAATGATTCAAACTAAGTGACTATGTTATACTAGTATATTGAATATAACTGGACGCAATTCCCCAAAGTCTTTCACGATTATGATCATAATATTTAACCCTAATCATCAAACATGCTAAATCTTTGAACAACAGAATGTTTGGCGATCGTATATATAAATTAATGTAATCATATTTTCGTCGTCGATATAACTGCAATATCCATGCCACTAAGCTTGATCTTATATGTTTTGGGGGGCTTGTTCACGTCCACGGCAGATGATTAGTCGTCGTCGTGAATCATGATCTACAAAATAATTCAACTATGATGCAAAACTTGTACAATACTAATATCCACAACACTTTGAATACCACGAAAGCAATAACTTCAATTAATTCTTTTAATTATTAAAAGTCTTCAGTTGCTTTCTTTGATACTTAAAACGTAAATGATAACTGCTGAATGCGGAATCTGACAGAATTTTTTAATGATTTATTATGAAATTTAGCTGAATAACTAATAATTCAAATGGTAAATGTGGAATCTGGCTGAATTTTGTGGTATCTAACATATTATTAATTTAAGTAACGGAATAACTAAAATTTAATCTCGTAAAATAATTAAAATAAATATTAAAATTTTTCTCCAAATTAATAATTCATTAACATATACTCTCTTCGTTTGTTTATAAGTGATGTTATTGTACATCAATTAAAAATTTTTTATTTTTTACTATCATATTATCTACCTAAACACAATTCAACTAATAAAAACAATATACATAACTCAGATAGCTAAAAAAAATCAATTAGTAGCACATCGAATAGCCAACATATCATTTAACTTGGACATAAGTTTTTTATAATTACGTTTGGTCCTATATTGACTAAAATTTTTTAAAAAGTTGTTTTGAATTATTTCACAGATGGATAACATCGCTATACAAAAAACAATCGTAAGTTCGAATATACATAAACAAATTTGTGATTTTGTATAATAACTTCCCAGGAAACGATAATTGATTTCTAACTAAAACTAAATATAAAGATTCATGGAGATTATGAATAGTTCGAAAACTAGAAAAATGAAATCTTGTCTAAATTTTTGATT